ATAATAATGGAACCATTAATTCATTGATATAACAAATGTATCACTCTGGTACAGGACGATGATAGTGGGGGAGATTATGCATATTGGATAAGAGGTGAACTCTGAGTAATAATGGAACCATTAATTCATTGATATAACAAATGTATCACTCTGGTACAGGACGATGATAGTGGGGGAGATTATGCATATGTGTGGATAAGAGGTATGTGAAATTGAACTTTTTGCTGCATTTTGCTATGAACCTAAAACTACTCTAAAAATTAAACTTTATTAATCTAGAAAAAAGTAAACAGTAGCCATCAGACAATAAATAATGAACAAAAAAAAATCACTTACTACAGTTTCCTTGGCAGGAGGAGGCTTGATCTGTTGACTGGGGATCAGAACAAATGTCAAAGTACCATGCATATCAGACTGTAATAGAGAGATTAGGTAATTCTTAAAATCCATATTTATGAAAATCATTTCATGATCTTATGATCAATATTCCCTACAGTGGACTATTCTGGAACCCCTAGGAGACTTAAAAAAAAATCAGTAAAGATGAATCCCATTTTGTCAGGAAGCACAAATTATGCCTTTCATAGACTCCATTATAGTAGAGCTAGCCAGTAATAAGGCATTCTGTAATTCTGGCACACTGGGCAAAGGCATTTAGAGTATAAGTCTTGGGTTTTGATCTTCTACTTAGTGTAAGTTTAGGAAGATTCCACAGTGAAAGGTTGGACATACCAAAGTGCTATAATAATTCTGGGTTACCTACTCTGATATACATAAATTTTAATACAGTAGAAACTGAAATAGTAATTGTGACTAGGATAAGAGAAGTGATACAAATATTCTCACTTCCCAGGTGCATTGTCTCTGTCATCCATTCTATTTTTAATTTTATAGTCTTACTGCTAGGTTCACTATTATTTCCCAGTACACCACTAACTATTGTTCAGATACCTCCAGTTTAGACAATAAAACAATAATCATAATTTCTGGTCCTGAGATAGCAGGAAGCAGTGCTCAACCCAGAGATAGCAGCCAATAAGACAAAGGCTAAAAACAATGATCACTTGCACTTTGCTCTCCCAAAGCAATAAATGGGGTTCAGTGAAAATAAGGACATAAGGATGTTTTCTAGATTTGTCAACAGACATCAGCAGATAGGAGAGACTCTATTGTAACAATTGATGTTAAGTCAGTAAGAATATAAATCTGGTTTGTGGGGATATATGCAGTGATCAGAAATTGCTCTCAAAAGCTGTCTATAAACGGCTTCCTGATTATACAAGCACTCTCTAATAGAACTTTTTATGATCATATAAATATTCTATATCTATACCATAATATGAGAGCCATTAGCTACATACTGTTCTTATCTAGAATACAGTTGTTAGGAATGAGAAACTCAATTTTAATTATTACTTAATTTAAATCGAAATAGCTAGCACATGTAACTATTGGACAATGTAGATGTATACCACTGCTATTACCTAACATTACTAAGAAAATAACAATTAATTGTAGATCATAAACAAAATGAATATAAGTATCATGAGGGCATGGACTTTGTTTTGTTACTGTTTCTCTAGCAGCTGGCCCATAGTAGGCACTTAAATAAATATATGTTGAATGAATTAATGAGATATATAGTGACTTCAGAGGTAAATAAAATATACCTGATATTAACAAAGCTCAAAATAAAGAAAATATCAGTAGTACCAATGCCAAAATAAAACTCTACTAATAAATATTGTAAAAATATGTGAAAATTAGGCTAGAAATTATCTAGTCCTCTTAGCAATTATTTTTAAAATACTGTAAAATGTTTTATTCTGAAGTCTAATAACAAAAAATCCAACTTTCAAGAACCTACCAAATACTCGTCTGTGTCAACTTACCAACAAGTCAAAAACCTCATTTACATCTTTTCCCCGAATTTCAATGCCATTAATCTCCAGAACTTCATCTCCTTCATGTAAAAGACCACTTTTCTCTGCAGCACCCCCTTTTACTATCCGACTAATGATGACAGAATCCATTTCGTTACGAACTGTAGCACCCTAAAAAATTCAACATCCAATTTTAAAATAAAAATGCAACTTTTTGGTTAAAGATTTCTTCATTTTTTTAATTCTTATTTTTTTCTATTCAATAATACTACCCTTCAGTTATCTTGAGGAAGAAATTGACTTACAAAGCTAGAGTAATCAAGATAATTGGGTTACTATTTAGGTGACCATTTTCCTTACATTTTCTGCTGCAGAAACATTGCATTCATTACAATTCTAAAAATCAAGCAGGCTTTTGAAGCATACAACAGAAAAATGCACTTGCTTAAAAACCACCTGAAGACTTGTTCTCTATATGTTGGATTCTATTCAAAATGGTTATACTATATTTAGGTGTAATTCGAGAACATGACATATCTATAAAAGTTCTTTTTTAAAATTTAAAATATGATGGGGAATGAAAACTACTCTGGTTGATTATACAAATGTTAAATATTATAGCTACATCCAATTCACATTAAAATATATTAAACATTAATATTACACAAATGAGAAACACAATTAAACATACACATTCAAAAATGGAAATATAAAATACAGAAAAGAGCTTTAAAGTAGATAGAGTTTATAAGATTTTTACCCTAAATTTTCCCAATTTTTTTTTCTAGTGGGGAAAAAAACTAAGTTACATAAACTGCCCATAAAATACGGTCTGTATTTATGTATCCCACTATTTAAAACACAATTTGAGAACAGGATTCAAGAAAATCCTTGAAAATAAAGGAAAGAAAATTAAGGCAATAATAGCAGACTAAGAAGAGATTGAAAAAAGTTTTACCTGAAAAAACTATAAAACAAATATTAACATTAATAAATACATACTTCTAAGTATATGTGAAGTATATATAAGTAATTATGTGTCAACAGATTTTAATTGAATTAAAAGATCAGATTTTTTTAAAATTAGGAGAACAATAAAGCAGGTTACTTATCCCTTTGTTCCTCAACAATTATTTCACAAGCTACTATTTTCATCAAATTAGGTGTGAGAAAGATGAATACATTTTTCTCTGAAAAAGGAGTATGAGAAAGAACATAAAATAATTTCAACAAATTTATCTCAAAAGAGAAAAACTACCAGAAACATAAAGGGGTCTTTAACTGTCTGCTATACAAAAGATCCCTGGGTAGAAAGGATCTCAGATCAGATACATGGAATACTTACCAATGGAATATCTCGAGCCTTTTCTATACGAACTATTTTTACAGTTTCTCCTCCGTACTGGCCAACGCTTTCATAAACTCTCTCAACTGTAATGGGCTCTAGCTGCATTTCCTGCTCAGCAACCTTATCATGGGCCAGTAAAAGTGCCTGTTTCAAAAAAAAATCCATAGCATTAAAAAATCCATAGTATTCTGATCATTAAACCTTTAAAATAAATACTATAATTAATGATATATTCAGATTTGTTTCCAAACCTTCCAATGAGGTACAAATGCAACCTTGTATCTTTCAAGCTAATAACAATTAAAGATGTGTTAGGGTCCTGGTCGGTTTGGCTCAGTGGATAGAGCGTAAGCCTGTGGACCAAAGGGTCCCGGGTTCGATTCCGGTCAAGGGCACATAACTTGGTTGCAGGCTGCTTCCCGGCCTGGGCCCTGGTCAGGGCTCCTGCAGGAGGCAACGGTACAAATGCAACCTTGTATCTTTCAAGCTAATAACAATTAAAGATGTGTTAGGGTCCTGGTCGGTTTGGCTCAGTGGATAGAGCGTAAGCCTGTGGACCAAAGGGTCCCGGGTTCGATTCCGGTCAAGGGCACATAACTTGGTTGCAGGCTGCTTCCCGGCCTGGGCCCTGGTCAGGGCTCCTGCAGGAGGCAACCAATCGATGTGTTTCTCTCACATCGATGTTTCTCTCTGTCTTTCCCTCTCTCTTCCACTCTCCCTGAAAATCAATGGAAAAATATCCTCGGGTGAGGATTAACAACAACAGCAAAAGTAATAATAAAAAGATATGTTAGGTATAGCAGGCATACTCTGGGATAGGTTCTGAAAGTCTGAAGTGCTTATTATACTGCAAAAACACAAAGTCAATTCAAAGGCCCAAAACCATAGATAATTTAAGTTTATGGGGGGGAAAAACAAAATAGGGAAGAAATTTTTTTGAAGAATAATAAGTTGTTTCAAAACTAATGTTAATTTTAAATATGAAAATATATAATCCAACAATAATTATTTCATAGTGGGAGTTGTAAATAACTAAACAGCCTATCGATAATATTTGAAGTCTCTTCTAGCCCTAAAGGACTGATTCAGAGAGACTTGGAAGTTGGAAAAACCACATATCCATAATGCTCTGTACATTTTCTACCTGAACATGTGGAGCATTCAGCAAAGCAGTTAATTCTTGTCCTTCCTTCTGGTGGATTGACTTCAAAACAATTTGTACCTAAGGAACAAAAAGAAAGATGAATTCTTCCTAGGGTACAGAAAATATCACCAGCACCTATACATGTATTTTTAAAAAGATACAATTTAAAGTCGTAAAAAATTACTTATAATTTTCGGGGGAAAAAAAGGAGAAACATGTAATACTCTTTGTAATAATTTAAGCAATAAAAATATATATTTAAAAAAAAAAAAAAAAGAAAGGCACTAAAAAGAGTTATTAGAAAAAAATTATTTTTTCTCAGTTTTCAATCTTGTTCTCATGGTTAACAATAACATTCTTTATTTAAAAAGACAACACTAGATAGGATTTTGGTATTTATGCTACGAATGAACTATTTTCTTCTTGTAAGTTTCTCCTAACATACTATAAAACAGATTAATAATTACATAGGGGAAGAAAAACTAAGTTATCTTGATATTTTATAGTTTTTAATCATGTTTATGCAACTATATTTTAAATCACAGATGACACTTTCAAGAGTTACAGACTAACAAGATCAATTTATATAAGAGTAATGCAGCAATCACCATATTATAGTGAATTACATTTAAAAAATTCCCACTGTGAAGCAGTTCTTAAATTCCTAGGGTAAACTCCATTTGACTATGATGAATTTTTTAGTCTTTGTTTCCTCATCTGTAGAATGACAGCTACCATTTAAAGGGTCTCAAAAGATGGAGATAATCCATATAAACTAAGCACATAATAAAGTATTACTTAATGTATTTTGATATGTGAGTTATTGATATTTTAAGGTTTCTACATTAATATTCATAAACTGGATTGGCCTCTACTTGGTGAGTGTGGTCAACGTACAGTGATTTATAAAACTGTCTAGGTCATTACTATCTAGGGTCATTATATCCTAGTACATATAATGAATTGGAAAATAGTCTATGTTTATGTGTCAAAAAAATTTATTTAACATTAGAATTATATGCTACTGAATGTTTTGATAGATCTTGTACATAAAATCATCCAGGCCTGGTAGATATTTTTGGGGGTGGATTTCTGATTTTCAATTTTATCTATAGCTACTGGTCTACTTTTTTTGGCTATCTTTTCTTACATCACTTTTGACAATTTATATTTTTTTAGAAAACCACCCATCTGATAGCTCTTCCACATTTAGTAAGAAAACTGTATTATACTATAGTTTTTAATCTTCTGTGTCTGTATTCATGCTCCTTTATTCATTCCTAATGTTACTGATATATTTTTCTTCATCTAACTTATCAAAGGTTTCTCCATTTTTTTGTAATTTTCAAAAAACCAGCTTCTAATGTTCAATCTATTGTTCTTTCCACTGAAATAATTCAATTTCTTTCTTCTGCTTTAGTTTATTTTTTAATCTTTAATAACTTAAGCTGTTATGTTCAGTTCATTTATTTCCATTTTTTCTTCTATAATAAATATTTATAGGTACAAACTTTGCTCTGTGGATTACTTTCCCCCAAAGATTATACTATGTATATTCTCATTATCAATGCCTCTTTCTTTCCTTTTCTATTCCCAAATCTCTATTACACATAAAAAAGTAATTTGCAATAATGCAAAGTGCCTTCTAACCTATTTTATAAGTCTGTAGCTCTGGAGGTCCTACCCTTCCCCCTACTCCTTTTTCTGTCTTGTGTCTGGATTCCATGAAATAAATTTACTTGATGGGCTTCCAGAATTATTAGTGTTTTTTTTTAATTTGAATTGTATTTTATTGATTTCAGAGAAAGGAAGGAAGAGGGAGAGATAGAAACATCAATGATGAGAATCACTGCACACCCCTTACTGGGGATCAAGCCTGCAACCCAGGAATGTGCCCTGACCAAGAATCCAACCATGACCTCCTGGTTCATAGGTCGACATTCAACCACTGAGCCACACCAGCTGGGCCACAATTATTAGTTTTTATGTCAAAATATCCACCCCCCACCAAGATTGGAGATAGCTTGTTTATATCTTTTTAAAACCTTCAATTAAAAGCTATTTGCAGAACACATTAAACACTGAACACAACAAGCAGTGGAAACTAGACCTCTCACTGTACATTAAAATTGAATTATTTTCAAACTTCTACACAGGTTTTGTAGAGGAACAACTTCAAAATACAGTCATTCACCACTTGATAACTTCTGAGAAATGAGTCATTAGGCAATTTCATCATGCTATCATCATAGAATGTACTCACACAAATCTAGATGGTATAGCCTACTACACATCTAGGCTATATGGGGTAGCCAATTGCTCTTAGACTACAAATGTGTACAGCATGTTACTGTACTAAACACTATAGACAACTATAACACAGTGGTATTCTTTTATAGGACTGGCAGTGCAGGTTTATTTACACCAGCATCACCACAAACATGCGAGTAATGTGTTGTGTTAGGATGGCTGCAACTCTATAATAATCTTATGGAACCACTATCATATGTGTGGTTTGTTATTGACTGAAATGTCATTATGTAGCACAAGACTGTATCTACTAGTAACAAATCTTAGAAGTCATCCTATATCATAAAAGGCTAATATGCAAATTGTCCCCTCAATCTGGAGTTTGACCAGGGTGCAGGGCTGGCCGGCCAACCGCCCGTGGCCCCTCCCCCTAGCTGGCCCCATCCCCGAACACCCCCCACCCCTGATTGGAGGCAAGGCCAGCCGGACCCCAACTGTGCACAAATTCATGGGCCTCTAGTCCTATGTAATAAAAGGGTAAAATGCAAATGGACCCTAACAATGGAACGACCGGTCGCTATGATGCGCACTGACCACCAGAGGGCAGACGCTCAACACAGGAGCTGCCCCCTGGTGGTTAGTGCGCTTCCACAGGGGGAGGTCTGCTCAGCCACAAGCTGGGCCCCTCTTGCAGTCCAGGACCCCTCGGGGGATGTCCACCTGATGGCTTAGGCCCGCTCCCTAGGGAGCGGGCCTAAGCCATCAGGTGGACATCCCCCGGGGGGTCCTGGACTGCAAGAGGGCTCAGGCCAGGCTGAGGAACCCCCCAAGTGCACAAATTTTCGTGCACTGGGCCTCTAGAATATTTGTAGTACCAGATTATCAGATATAATTTTTATCTTATTGGTATTCATTTACCTGAGTTTATGATGTATAATGCTTAAAATAATACTATACTAAGCCCTAGCCAGTCTGGCTCAGTGGATAGAGCATCAGCTTGTGAACTGAAGGGTCTGGGGTTCGATTCCAGTCAAGGGCACATGCCTGGGTTGCGGGCTCGATCCCCAACAGGAGGCATGCAGCAGGCAGCCAATCATGATTCTCTATCATCATCAATGTTTCTATCTCTCTCCCTCTCCCTTCCTCTCTGAAATCAATAAAAATATATTTTAAAAAAATTATACAAAAGCATTAAAAAACTTTCCCCTTTAGTAATGTAGAAAAATACTTCTCTTACCATGCAAATATATAATTTTGTATGCAAAACAAACTCTCTTCTTTAGTGAAACAGAGTTCTGACTCTGAAATAAGTATACCCCTAGCTGGACTTGCTCAGTGAATAGAGTGGCAACCCACGGACAGAAGGGTCATGGGTTTGATTCTAGTCAAAGGCATGTACCTTGGTTGCAGGCTTGATCCCTGGCCCTGGTCAGGGGTGTGTATGGGAAGCAACCAGTCGAAGTGTCCCTCCCACATTAATGTTTCTCTGTCTCTCCCCCTCCATTCCACTCTTTCTAAAAAAATTAATGGAAAATATCCTCGGGTGAGAATTAAGAACAACAAAAACAGAAATAAGCATATATATTTTCCAGGATAAAATGTACTTAGAAAATATTTCCTGTTACAATAAATTATTCTTATGTGATCAGTAGTAATTAATCCAAACTAGCCTTATATTCACACCAGTATTTTCTAATAATACTACCTTATTATCACTAACAATTACTTTGTTATATATATGTCAATAATATCTTTAAAATACATACCTCTTGTGCAAGATCTTGTGCATTGGAGATAAGAGGAAACGGAGGACTGGCCTTGCTCATGTGTACTGTGACAGCGTTGTGTATTTTAAATGCATTCTGGAAATCTTTATTTTGTACAAGTTGTAAAAGTAGTGAAATATCCTCCTGGCTCTGAGAATCTACCAAAGTATGTTGGATATGTTTAAGTGAAGAAAATAAGTCTTCCACTTCTAGAAGGAAAAGGAATCGAAAAATTAATTTTCTGTCTTAATTCAACATTTAAGATAAAATTTCTTGAACCATAACAATTTGCATTTTCAAAAAGAACAAAACTTGCATATATATTTGAGTCAAATCACTGCCATTTTACTGATTTTAAGTAATACTCTTTAAAATTATATAACAGATTAGAGTAAAAGTTTTTGAAAGTGTTTTAAATATAAAACTAATACATACTCACTACAAAAATAAATGAGGGGAGGAATACAGAAATGAAAAATTAATTAAAAATCACCAATAGTCCTATCACCTAGAAACAACCTTTATTTTAACCATCTTACAACATTTCCTTTTTTCATTTAACAGTACATTTTGTTTTCTCAAATCACCAGTCTTTAAAAACATTACATATAATGGCTGTGTGATATTTTATTACATGGCTAAATCATGATTTATAATAACCATTATACTAAAGTTGAGCATTCGGGTCGCTTCCAATTTTTTGCTACTATAAGTAATAATAAGCACTTCAGTACATAATGATCATTGTTGCATAAAAATTTGTCTGAGATTCTGAAGTTTCCTTAAAATAATTTCTAGAAATAGAATTTTAAAATAAGATCGACATTTTAAAAACCAAACGGCTTTTCAGGGAGATTTTACTAATTTATATCCCACTAGAAATATTTTTGCCAATATTCAACAATATACCATTTTAAAAAATCTTCAATTTCTTTAATAAGAAGTTAAAGTTTATTCATATTTACCAGGTACTTCTTTTGTGGTCCATAAAACTCTTATGACCACGAATCTCCGAAAATTATACTGAAAGTTATGGCATATGTGTGTGTGTGCAAGCCTGTTACTGGGCATATGTAGCATATGCATTTTTCTGGGAGTTATCCCAAAATGTTTAGAACCAGAGGTCATCTCTTCCCTGCCCGGCAACAGGCAGATGTGTACATTTTTGTGTACACTTTGTCACATTCACTGGAAATGGTTTTCTAATTTTCCACTTGTCTGCTTTTACTGTAGAAGTTTTCAACTCTTATGTATTAAGAATGATCTACCTTTTCCAGCATGATTTCTTTCACTGTTTCTATGCTTATAAACTCCTTTCCCTAGGTCAGTGGCTGGCAAACCACGGCTCGTAAGCCACATGCGGCTCTTTGGCCCCTTGAGTGTGGCTCTTCCACAAAATACCATGTGCGGGCGCGCATGTACAGTGCGATTGAAACTTCGTGGCCCGTGCGCAGAAGTCGGGTTTTCGGCCTGGGCGAGTCTATTTTGAAGAAGTGGCATTAGAAGAAGTGGGGGGTGTCGGTCGGTAAGGCGATGGGCGATGCGGCGCAGGCGGGCTGCGGTATACGCAGAGCGGGGGAGGCGCCAAATATCAACAGTACTTAAACTATATAGGTAGGTTAATAACAATGTACCTACCTATATAGTTTAAGTTTAAAAAATTTGGCTCTCAAAAGAAATTTCAATCGTTGTACTGTTGATATTTGGCTCTGTTGACTAATGAGTTTGCCTACCACTGCCCTAGGTCATCCAATATTTACCTACATTTCTTCTAGCTTCTTGTGGCTTCTATTTCATAATAAACGTTAATCCATCTGAAATTTTTTTGATAGAGCTTTGAGGGGAAATTTTAACTTCATTTCTTTTTTTCTGGTTAACACTTATTCTAATACCATTATTATTATTTTTTTTAAATAATCCTTCCTTTTCTAATTTAAGTTGCTACCAAATTCTTACATATATTAGGGTCTGTTTTAGTCCACTGGTCTATCAGAACCACAATGTCTTATTTTTTTAAAAATATATTTTATTGATTTTTTTACAGAGAGGAAGGGAGAGGGATAGAGAGTTAGAAACATCGATGAGAGAGAGAGAGAGAGAGAGAGAGAGAGAGAGAAGAGAGAAATTTTTTTTTTTCCTGCACACCCCCTACTGGGGATGTTGCCTGCAACCAAGGTACATGGCCTTGACTGGAATCGAACCTGGGACCTTTCAGTCCGCAGGCCAACACTCTATCCACTGAGCCAAACCGGTTAGGGCCACAATGTCTTATTAAAGTAGCACTGCAGTCTTTGCTTATATTGATATGACAAGTACTTGCTCATTATTTTTTTTCAAAATATCTTGACTATTTAATTTACAGAATAATTTTTTCAAGGTATCTCCCACTGTCTCTTTCCTATTCGTTCCAAAAGAAAAATCCTATTGCGATTTTGACTGATATTAAAACTGTAAATGAATCTGAGAAAAACTCACAGTAGATACTATTTGTCTTATGCGCAATCTTTTTAAGTCTTTTTGTTAGTTTTCTTTATATATAAGACTTTCAAAAATTATTGAATCTTGTACATTTATCTTGTATACCACTACTTAAATTTTTTATAGATTTGAATAATTCTCCAGTTGATTCTTGATATTCCCTCTCTCTCCAATGAAAACAGGTTTACTCCCCCTTATAAAAGAAAATACATATTCTTTATTAACTTAATGCAGCAAAAAAGGGGGAAAAATTAGAAAGTCAAATTGCCATTAGAATAACCTACGAAGTTGTGACTCAGTGCTAAATAAAACTTGTTAAATAATCAGAATTTAACTATAACTTGCTATCTACAAGAGTAGACAGAATATGGATAGAGGAAATTGGTATATTTTGGTCAAAGAGTAAAAACTATCAGCTTTATGATAATAAGTTCTGAGATCTAATGTACGGCATGGTGTCTACAGTCAATATTGTATTGCATACTTAAAATTTACTGAGTAGCTCTTAAGCATTTTCACACGCATACACAAAAGGAAACTGTGAGGTGATATGAGTGTTAATTAACTGTAAATATTTCACAATGTATACAGCAAATTCTCACACTGTACACTTTAGATATACAAAATTTTGTCGACTATAATAATAAAAGTGTAATATGCTAATTAGACTGGACAGCTGAATGACCTTCTGGATGTCATTCCGGATGAAGCCGCGGTGGCGGGGGCCGAGGCAGAGGCGGTTAGGGGTGATCAGGCAGGCAGGCAGAGTGGTTAGGGGCGATCAGGGAGGCAGGCAAGTGGTTATGGGTGATCAAGAAGGCAGGCAGAGGCGGTTAGGGGTGATCAGGCAGGCAGGCAAGCAGTTAGGGGCAATCAGGCAGGCAGGCAGAGTGGTTAGGGGCAATAAAGCAGGCAGGCAGGTGAGCAGTTAGGAGTCAGTGGTCCTGGATTGCGAGAGGGATGTCTGACTGCCATTTTAAACTGGCAGTTGGACATCCCCCAAGGGGTCCTAGATTGTGAGAGCATGCAGGCCTGGCTGAGGGACCCCCCCTACCCCGTGCACAAATTTTGTGAACCAGGCCTCTAGTACTTCAAAAAAGCTGGAGGGAGGAGTGGGAGAAAGAATATGGAATGTCAGGTTCCATAAAATTCAAAGAGGTTAATACAGAATTGCCTAAGAGTATAGAGAATTTCCTCAGAGTACAAAGAATTCAATAGCCTTAAAGTATCTTTAGATCAAAATAGTAAAATATTTAAATATCTTAAAAGAAAAAAAATTACAAACCAACAAAATAGGCTACAATCTTATGAGTACTAACGACTTCCCTGAGTAGATAATGGGATTCCTGTTTAAATTTTTAGTAAATCTTTAAAGGGGCTCAGCCTGGTTGTTAGGGCAATGAAAAAAATCAGGAGCTTCAGATCTCAGCATTGACTGAAATCAATAAGCAACTTTAGTCAGTCCAGAAAGTAACCATCTCCCTACTGTGTCTCTTCAACTCTCTGGGTATTTAAATTTTTAAAGGCAAAAGAACTTGTGAATCTCTCCTGTGTACTAAAGCCATCCACTTAGACACTAACATACTGACATTATAAAATAACTAGAAGCCCGGTGCATGAAAATCGTGCATTCATGGGGGTCCCTCAGTCTGGCCTGTGCCCTCTTGCAGTCCGGGCGCCCTCAGGGGATGTCTAACTTATGGCTTAGGCCTGCGCCCTGGGAGCGGGCCTAAGTCGGCAGTTGGACATCTTTAGCGCTGCCGCAGAGGCAGGAGAGGCTCCCGCCACCGCTGCTGTGCCTGCCAGCCATGAGCCCGGCTTCTGGCTGAGCGGCACTCCTCATGTGTTGAGCATCTGCCCCCTGGTGGTTAGTGTGCATCATAGCAACCAGTTGTTCTGCCATTCAGTCAATTTGCATATTAACCTTTTATTATATAGGATTATCTGCAGTTCTACTTCTCAGCTATAACTACTGGTATCATTTCATTATACTATGTAACCTTTCAGACTTTTTAAAAAATGCTGACCTAACCATACAGGTCAGATTATGAATGTTTTGCAATATGAGTTTTCCAAATTCTTTAGAATAAATTCCTAGGATAAAATTACTGATCAGATAATAAAAACATTTATAACTTTGATACATATTGCCAACCTACCCTCCAAATTTGTACTTATAGTCCTATCAGCACTATACTTGAGTTTCTGTTTCTACAAATAAAAACCAAATTCAGGATTATAAATCTTTTGTTTTGATGATATGGTTAGGAAAAATATATATACTTATTTGCCTAAGAATGAGGGTGAATATATTTTCACAAAGTTAATAGTTATCTATATTTCTTCTTGCATTCTTTTTCTGCTTTTGCCCATTTTTCTACTAGAGCTTTGTTTCTTCTTTTTTCCCTTAATGACTGAAATTACACTGATTTTATAAAATGCCTGCAGTCTTAGGCAGCACATACTGAATATAATTTTATCATTTTTGCTATGTTAGAACAATGTATTTAATCAAGGATATTTATGAGAATTAGTAAGGAAATTTACAGAGATGTTGGTCCTGAGTTCTACCTCAAACATAATCATTACACACACACACACACACACACACGCACACACACACACACGCACACACATACCTTTCTGGTTAAGAACCATTGCTTTAAAGGCTTTATTAACATCAGTTATTGTAGAATTTTAAGACATGATATACTTGGGATTCACCAAAGTA